AAAAAGGTATGACCATATTAATGAAATGCTTGTTAAACACATGGCATTTCCGGAAATCCAATCAACCTGAACTTCAACCTATAGATGAGTCTATTGACTCTCAGAATATCTAAATGTAGGCTTAAAGATTTCCTTGAGACCAATGGAGATGATCTTCTGAAAGGCTCAAAAAATAGTTTGAATGGAAAATTTTCCGTACAATTATGTACTTTTATTATTGTAACTTGGAAGTAAGTGTTGAAGCTTTTCTGCAGGTCATTAATTTTCGGTTCTCGTTAATTCTCATTTTTAATTAAAAAGAATTTTATAGAGAAAGAAGCTCTTAAGAAAAGTGTCTAGATTTTCATTTAGATAAAAGACATAGCTTAGTTCAATATATAAATTTTTTTAAAGAAGTGTCGACTCGACGGAACAGCTGACTCCAATAATTTTTGATGCCTTCGAAAAGGAATTTATAGGAATTAGCATAAGTTTATTGACTCACTATTCAATTTATTCGAAAAGTGTACAATATGTTGATGCTAATCCATAGCTTTTGACTCCTTGAAAACATTTTCAAGGGAGCCCAAAATTAATAAGTATACTATCTCAAATCTTTTGGTCTACTCGTTATTTTAAAAGTTTCAACCAAAGACAATGTTCCTTTGTTGAGATGTTCAATAGAACACTTCCTACCAGCCGCATTAAACTATATTTCCAAAAAAAATCTCTTCATTTCTATTTGCTATACATAATGAACTACGATAATAATTATATCACAAAGTTCTGTAATTAAATTTTCGCATTAATCAATATTAACAAATTTAAAAATCTGAACGCTTCACAAAAATTACAACTTTATTTTTTTTATTCTAGTTCCATCCGATATTGATAAACTTCAAACTCGTCTATCTGATGATAAAAATGCATTAAGCACTATCTGGAAACGAATTAATGATAAACGATTACCACCTATACCAAAATTAGTTCTAAGTGTAAAATTCTTTTTCTTTCTACAAAAAGAAAAAACCAAAAATATTTTTATTATTAATTTAGAATTATTTTGATGTTTTACTTGATTATTATGAATCAGTCACATCCAATAAAATTTTATTAAATCAAATTGGTAAAAATCTTCTTCATCTTTTACAATTGGTTAATAATGAACAAACAAAAACAAATATAATCAATCGATTAAAACAATATCATATTACTTTAAATGAACAAATTGAAAATGATAAATTTTGTCAAGTAGATTTATCATTCGTATGTTATATTATTGTTTATTTCTTCTTTTGTTTTACTTTCAATGATATTTTGTATTTTCTAATTAGATTCTTTTCTTAAAATTGATTGCTCATCTTTATCCAACATCAGATTTTTCTCATTCAATAACAACACCAGCAATAACATTACTTGTTCAAGCTATAAATCATGTATGAATTGATTATAAAATAATTAAGAAAATTTAAATGCTTTTATTTTGATTTTTAAAGAGTTCTCTCAAATCTCTTAGTTCATGTCGACAAGCATTATTTTTAATTGATTTAGTACAACAAGTAAGACAATTTTAATGATTAAGAATTTTACAATAAATTTTGTTCTTTAGTGGATATCAAAAAGTCATCGTTATGTACCAGAAGTTATTGTTTTATTAATTAAACTAATTCAACTTGCATGTCCAATTGAAAAGTCTCAATATTTTATATCCTATTCATCGAAACAAATTGAAAATAATCAATTACTGATTTTGAATAAGAATATCGACTTGTAAGTTAAAAAGAAAAAGAAAAGCATTATTAATTATATACTGGCTTCGTAATGTCACTAGAAGAAAATTAGAAGCATCACATAAATCAAACTTTCCTAAACATATAAGATACTAGTTTACGTCAAGAAAAATTTTTTAGGTGCTTTATGAGCTTTGCAGTAGTACTAAGGATTAGAACCCGCTCGGTTCTAAATTTATGGATCTATTTGGTCGAACCGTTCATTAATATTTTTAATGAAACTTTCTAGTCGAAATCAGATAGTCACCCCTGAAAATAATTTTTTTCTGGTTTTTTGCATTCGGTGATTAGCGTATCCTACATCTTTTTCAGGCGACTAGACGCCATCGGATCCAAAATTTTCTAACCTGAACGCGGTCGGGATCAGCCTGATGAGCTCTACTAAAGATTACCTATGCAACCACGAAGGTGTAGTTTGAATGCATCTGAATGATCTTTTTGTTGTAAAAGACAAAGTTTGAAATAAATGCAACTATGTTGACTCTGATTTCTATTTTTTTTTATAATCGATTAGCATTCTGTTCGTTAATGATAACGTGTTTTTTTGAAATAGACATATCTGGAGATAGGTGCATGCGTTCTTAAGTTGTGTGTTATTAGAGACTCTCTGTCGAACACATATGGGTATACGCCCTTGTCTCATATGCCATCTGATGTTCTTGATCTTTAAATCCGTGTCTAAACACAGTTTGTTATTCCTCTTTGTTTGTCACTATGGTGCAACGGGTTAGCGAAAAGTAATTTGAGGAAAGATTTGTTTATTTTTCAGTCTCTTCTAGAAGCCTGCAAAAATTTGAAAACATTCGAGTAACTATTTAAGAGTTATATACCGACCTTTTGCGTGGTGAGTAAATTGGTTTTGGATAAGTTTGAACGCGCTAAAACTTACCCAAGGTTGGAACGAAAATTATGTCAAATGTAGCGAATGAAAGAGCAAATATTTCTCTATAAAATGATATACCAATGATTAGTTTGCTTTCAGTCATTTATCAACGCTGAGTATTGTGGTAAGGTACATTGTGTCGATTTTCCCGAATTCTATAAAAACCATGCTTGCAAAGTGAGTTCCACCACTCCTGAATGATTGTTCTAAAACTTTTGTTCCTATAATACTTTGTAGAGAACAATCTTGTCTTTAATTCTATGCAAAAAAAATCGATAATATAATGCATGCAGTAAAGCAGACTACCGCTACAAAAAACATTGATTTTCTCTGTCGAAACTTAATTTTCATGCCTTTAAAAGATCAATTCGTGACTAAAATCTCCGCCGAGGCTAAAGAATGAGTGCACGCTTTTTCAAATTACGTTTCGATAGCCTATTGTTTAGATGTTTAGTTACTTCCAGTATTGAACTCTATTTCACTGTGATGAATATAAATGTGACCCGAAATGTGAATCTGGCTATTTGTATTGCACTCAAAAAAAAAAAAATAAAATAAAATTCTCTTACGAATTAGTTAGACAATACAATTAGGCTTGATTGTTCTCGTGAACTTAATAAACTACTTATATAATGAATCATAATATTATGTGACAATCTTAAGAAAAAAAAAACAATATCAATTTCATCATTACTAAAACACAAACAATCAATATACGCATGCTGTGACTACCCGCTGAGCATTGTGTTACAAATCATAATTAGTGAGATTATTTATAGCTTGACACAAGAAACGCTTTGTCCTAGAATATATTCGGAACGATGATTCTCATCTTGATTCTGGCCACCGTAGTACGGCAGCATATACCCAGATCTATCAAAATAGATATCGTTTATGGTTCGTTTTCTACCAATAACCGGTGCAAAATAGCAACTTTATAGCAGTAAAATCAGTATTTTTGCTTCATATGACCCGTAATCTCACTATTTACATGGCCTTATTTCTGCATTCCATATCACAACGGTCTACAAACCGTACTTGTTGACCTGGATACTATCGTAAAACAACACCAGGGCTGGTTTATGATAAAAAAACGGACTATATATGTAGTGTATTGCTCAACTAGGGTGTAATAAAAAATTTTTAATTTTTTTTTCCGGAAAATCAAGCGGTAACGCTTGAATAGTAGGATACTATTGGATTGATTTAAAAGTTATTTCAATAACATAATAACTAGGAAACCATATTATATATGAATTGAAAATATTTTTAGATCCAACTCAATTAAACTAACCATTTTTGATACCAATGCTCTTGACGATGATAATGATGAACACCGGTAAGAATAAAAACTTTTAACGAAGAATTAACTATTTTGTTTATTGAATCGAAAATTAAAACAAAATTACATCTATTTCTCATTGAATTTCTTCATTTATAAAATCAAATGAAAACTTTCGATATAACTTTTAGCTATATATCTTTTGTTTTAAATTTTCTAATTTTATCAAAATTCGAAAACTAAAATTAATCGATAAAAATTGATTTATTTTCTATTACAGTGCTATAATTCTTCAAACATGTCTCAATCATTTAACTGATTTTCTTAAAATCTATCAATCACTATCAGCTATTGTGGAAATAACTGAACCATTTAAATCTTCTCTTGTTACTATTGCTGATACATCTAAATGCAGTCAAATATCGGTAAAAATTTTTTTGCAAATCTATTATAAATTCAAATATGAATTTATTTAGTCTCAATGTCGAGAGATTTTAACATTAATTGATACAATTCAAACAACATGTCTTACTGATCGTAAACATCTTGAACAAGGCAAAGAACAGGCTAAAATGTTAAAATTATTTGAACCTCGTTTTGGACCAGTGTATGTTGAAAATTTCGGTTTTTCTTTCAAAATTTTTCTTGATTTTGTACAATATAGATATGAAGGTAAAAAGAATACTCGTCTACCGAAAGAATATACTGAAAGTCTACGTCTTCGACAAAAATATAAACGTGAATTGAAATCCGTCACTCGTACACTTGTACTTGATAATGAATTTATAGCACGAGAAGAATTTAAACAACAAATGGAAAAGTATGTTGTCGATTTCTTTTTTCTAGAATTTTATTTATTGTTTTCTTATAGAGATACACAACGAAAACGCAAAGTCAAAGATATTCATGCACAATTATCAATGCAAGAAGGAGAATATCGAAAATTTCAAAAAACCAAATAATTGTTATTGTTGTTGTTTTTTGTTTTCAAAATAGAAAAAATAACAAAATAAACATCTTGTTTTTTGTTTTGTTAAGTTTTTTTTTTTTTTTCTTGATTTTATAGATGACAGACACTGATCGATCTCAACCATTGAATGTACCTCGTGGTGGTCGTTCATCACGATATCGTACACATAGTTCGGGTAGTTTATCATCTTCATTTGGTTCTCCATCGGGTTTAACCAATATAAATAATACTAATGGTGGAGCAACATCAGTACATAGTAAAAAAACAGTTTCCAGTTCTACTGGAAATAATAATATTGGTTCAATATCAACTTCAATGGGCACTGGTAATAGTGCTGGTACATTGCCACAATTCGATGAAAAACATGCTGCAGCTGGAAATATTTTTGAACATCGTCAAGATTGGTCAATACTTAATCGTCTTCCATTACATAAACGAAATGCAATACATATTCGTCTTGAAGATGAAGGTCCTTATGGAAATGATGAAACAAGATGTTTTGTTTTATCTCAATTATCAATGGTTGGTTGTACAGATGTAACATGTACTGTTTGTGGTCAATCAATGGTTGTCTATGATCGATACCCTCTTGTTGATGGTACACTTTTTTTAAGGTAAGCTTGCATCAAATGACATTGTCATAGTGACATGACCGTTCTTCAACATCTGCAAAAGAGATATGATGTCGAACTACAGATAAGATGTCTATTTTTGGAAAAAATCAATTATATTGACGTTAAACTATTGCTAAGTAATTTGTTTTAACCTTTTTATTTTCTAGTCCTATTAAACATAGTGACAATGGAAAAGTTTCTATTGCTGTTTATCATAATGATCGGCAACTGTATTTGCATGGCATATGTCTTGAATGTTTATCCATGCGTTCATTACATGTACTTTGTCGTTTATGTAAGACTAAATTTAATTTTGATCCAATTATTTTCGGTACGCTTTATTATTATGGTATGTTGATTAGTCTTTTGTTTATCTATAATTGTTTATGTTTTCTTCTCTTTTGTTTTAAAGATCTGTTTGCAGCATTTCCATGTTGTCAAGCAAGATTATCATGTTCGAAATGTTTTCAACCAATTGTTTCAATAAAAGATGGTCTTATTAATTTTAGTAATTATTCATCTGAATTTGAATGCGGTCATTGTGGATCAAAAAATCATCATTTTGTTAAACCATTTGATGAAACATTTGAAAAACGATTGTAAACTAAAATTATTTATCTTAAACTACGTATACATGTAACTATATTTTCTTAGTTAGTTTATTGATTTATCTTCTTTCTTTTCTCATTGTAAATAAATCGATTTCAAAAAAGAATATTTTTCTCATTATTGTCTTGCAATTATTCATGACGAATTCAATGGCGAATTGAATAACTATGTTTGATGCACGTGTGCTTTTTTATCATTATGTATATATATATATATTATCGAAATATAAAAATAACTTAATAATTGGTATACACATGTGCGTAAACGTCTACTTGACTTGAGAATTAAATGCTGATGAGATACGAAAAGGAATTCATTGATATAAAATGATAAGTAAATAGTACAATTGTACCTTGTTTTTTTTCTCTTTAATGCATATGTGTCTGATTATCGTTATCTTCTTTTCCTTAGGTACAGAGACGTTTATCAAATGACAAGACATCAAACCACAATGTATAACGCCTACGTTTCTGTTTGTCGAATTATCCATAAGACGAGTAGTACGCAGGATGGCGCTATGGGTATTATCTTTTATGCACTTTTACGAGAAAGAGCGAGAAAAAAGAAAAGAATAACATTAGGAAGCGGCATAGAAAGAATATATGTATATATATATTTATAAGCCATTTGTCTTCTGATTTTTGTTCGTCGAGCACAAAGGCAACAAGGATAGATTTGTGTTTTATCACTGTTTATTTGCGTTTGCGTATTTTCTTAAAGATTCTATTCTGGTAAGTAAGAAAATAAAGTACTTTTCCGATAAACCGAATACCCAATTTGGAAAAGAATGATTGTATATTAATTAACAGGAGAAAAAGAAACACGATACACTTCTAACTTGTATCTAATACATATTTTACATATGTTTTATTAAATAGAAATTACGAACAAGTAATTAATAAAATGAAAGTAAAAATAAAAATAAAACTATTAAATATAAGATTAAATAAATCGTTTTTCAAGAGTAAATCTTTAAGACAAGGATGTATTCTTCCTCTTAGCATTGAGATTTAGCTATATGTTTCTACTGTGAAAATGTCAAGGATTCATCCTTGCATTCATTTATTTAAGGTTATGAGATCATCAGAGCTATTCGTCAAGCTATACACTTATTGTTTTTCTTTTCTTTTTCAATTAAGAACAATAATTTTGGCTATATGCTAAGAGTATTATCCATTTCGATTTAATTTGACAACATTTCATAACAAGCAAATTTTTTATTCATATATTAGAGTATGTTACACGAAAATAATACACCGATAAAATATAAGATTACTAATAATAACAAAAATACGTCAACAAAAAAAATTATGGGACGTAAAAAGATTAATATAACACGTATTAATGACGATCGTACTCGTCAGGTTACATTTACAAAGCGTAAATTTGGTTTAATGAAAAAAGCTTATGAATTATCGGTATTATGTGGTTGTGAAATAGCATTAATGATATTTAATAGCAATGGTCGTCTATTTCAATATGCCTCATCCGATATGGATAAAGTTTTATTAAAATATGCTGAATATAATGAACCTCATGAATCATGTACTAATATTGATATTATTGATGTAAGTATATACTTCTTTCTTTTGTTTTTCTATTGTCTTTAATTAATCAAATTTATTCGACACAATAAAGATCTTAAATAAAAAACACTCAGCAATAAAACCAACAATAATTGGTAGTAGTGAAGATACTGAAATGATTGAACAAAATGATGAAAGTAACGAACAAACATTTGCTGAAAGTGTTAATAGTGTAAATATCGTCAAAAAAAAAGTGTATACATTTATTACTATGATTATTATTCTTTTAGTTTCTTCTCAATAGCAATCTCAATTGTTCATCATCAAATAACAATAGCCATGATATGACATTCCTTAAAACTAATAATAATAACAATACAACAACAATTTTACCCGATTTTCAATATTTAACATCTGCGTCTGATGAACAATCATTATCAACAACAACATTAAATCACATTCCCAATTATCCTATTCCGAAATCAATTGATATTAATCAATATAGAAATAATATTATTAATAATACTAATTTTCACTCAAATACACCTAATGTAAATAAAAAACCAACAATTTAAATAATAATGATACAAAACAAAATAAACGAAAGAATTCTTTTTTGCATCATTTTAGATAACACAATCTTTACATATACCGATGAATCAATTCATAGCTCAACAACCAACAACACATATTGGTCGAATTATGACAGGTTAAAATAGATTGTTTTCATTTATAAAATTTAAAAAATTTTTTTTTAATTCTTTTAGTTGGTCCTGATATGAGTGTTTCATCAATTGATATAAATGCACTTGCTTCACAATTGACATCAAACTTTTTAGCATCCTTAACAAATGCTACTGTTGTTACAACTAATGATAATTCATCATCAACTATGCCTATTAAGTAAAAAAAAATGCTACTATCACAATCCCTGCGGGATCAAAGTTGTGAAACACGATAATCACAGAGAGATTGTTTTATTGCATGTATCTTGAGACATATTTCTTTACTCTTATTTTATTTAATCCACCAGAAATACAATAAGGAAGTAGTTAATCGATTGTAACGAGTCCTTATTGATATACGATGAATGATCGTATATCAATAATGTCTGTCACGGTCTGTAAAACGTCCCAATCTCTACCCTATATACTTCAACACTCCTGTTAGATCGTGTTTCACAACTAAATATATATATATATTGTAAACTTAGAAAGAAAAAAAACTTGTTTTTTCTTTAAATCTTAGTTTGATTAATCGAGATTGTCAAACAACAAATATTGGTACAGGACAAGCAATTATGTTAACCAATAATCCCAATTCAATTGCACTTACTGGCCAACAACAACAACAACAACAACCACAAGTGCAATCAATATGCCGAAATCTTGTTAAACAAGAACCTGTTGTCTATAGAACAGCAAGCTCAACTGTTGGTCGAAATGATTTATGCTATGAATCGAATATTAAACAAACTCGTTTATGGCAATAATTGACATGCATTTCCATCAAAATAAATTCCATCTAGAAAAATCAAAACTTTTTTCTACAACGAAATTTCAAACAGAGTTTCTTTTCCCATAAAATTATTATTTCATTCTACCCATTATTTTCTTGTAATTCGTGACACACCTTTTGTAACTATTCCGAATATTTTTTTTTCTTTGTTTGTTTCATGTTTTTGTCTGGTAATCCTTTTCTCTGGAAATAAGTTACACATTTATTTTAGAAAACTGAAATTTTTCTTGTTGTATTAAAAATAAAGAATAATAATTACTATCTGGAGAAAAATAAGAAGTATTTTTATCGTCAAGGACAAACTATGAATACTTGAATCAATTATGACTCGTCATAATACATAACCAAAAGTTTATGATTTTCATCATATATTCGTATTGTCTATATATATATACTGTATCCATCGGCAAAACTATTTGTTAGTAATGTAACTTTGCAAAATTAAAACAAGTGTATCTCGCAATAATAAACTTTCCTAGAACTAATTTTTATATGTTGCATGCATGTTAAGTTACTCAAGATACACTGAAAAAATTAGCGCTAGAGGTCCTTGTTCACAGCAAAAGAAAAATCTGAAGTGAGGCAAAAACTAAATAGTACATTCTATAGACAACTTCTGAGGTTACAAAATCTCTATTCAAAGTTTTTTCTGAATAAATCTAGATTTTTCAAAAAAAAATCAACTTGTCATTAGCGACATGACGGTATCCGAATCTACAACCGACAAAATACTTTTATAATCGAATGAGAAGTTCAAAATCAAATTCAAACGATACAAATCCTTCTCTAAAATTTCTAGATAATGGCCAGATAAAAATTTTTATTTCAGGACTTGATACAATCTCTCGAAAACTAATTTTTTCAGAGAAAGTTTTTTTTTTTTTAATCTGATCTTGTTGAAAACTTTATCACAAATATACTTCATATCAAAGAGTCTATTCTGAAGTTTTCAGATTTTTTTCTCATATGCTTAGAAAGATATTCGCTAATTACTTGTTAACTAAATAACAGTCAGCTGAAAACAAGTCAAAGTTTTTACATATGTTTATGCTACAAGAACTTATTCAGAAGAATAATTCTGGTGGATGATCAAGGTCAAATGGAAGGTTAGCTTGTTCCATTTTGCCAGAAATGACCCATACATGTACAGAAATGGCTGATTTATATGCTTAACATCTTACGAAAAAAGAAATTGTTTTGTTTCAGTTACTAATTTGTCTTTTACATCTGATAATACTAATATCTGGTGGACATGTTTGTTCTGTTATTTAACAAAGTCAAGGCCAACAGAATAAGATAAAAAGAAAAAAGAAAAAAGAAAAAAGATAGTGTTTATTTGTGAGAATAACGAAGACAATTTTATTTTGATAAAACTCAAATTGTGAAATTACAAGTGATGCATAATAAGAATACTATGCTATTGCATAAGGTGTAAACTAAAAAATTTAAACAAATTAGAATACAGAGTTGATATTTTATAAATGATTATGTTAGATGAATAGACTTTTTTTAATGTGTTCACTTTTCATCGTTTTATATTGAATTTGACTACAAACGTAAGAATAGTATATATTCGAAAATGCTGATGAACAATTTCAGTCATTAGAGGATCATTCAATATTCACAAGACATAATCGAACTAAAAAGAAGACTTTGATAAATCATTAGGTTTCATTCTATAGTCGGAAGATCATTATAGATTGTATAAGGAATATACCAGAATTAGAGCTGAATTTGTGTGATACTCTTAAAAAAAAATGTATTCTTATTCAGTTTATTCACTATAATACAATATCAAGAATGTTTTAAACAGTTTTTATCTTAAATTTTAGAGCAATTTTTCCCTTTAAATCAAAACAATCAAAATGGCGAATTGAATCTTTCTCTTGCCATAAAAACAAAAAAAATTAAGTATTCGAGTAGCGAAAAACAGAAAAAGAATTAAAATAGAATGTGACAATGTTTGTTAACTTCAACAAACATTCAATTTTAAAGTTTACATCTCTTATCTTTGGACAACAAAACAAATTCTATCGACATTGTCTCTCTGTTGTCTTCTTTTTTTTTGTATTTTTCTATAGTTAAATATTTTATCTTATCATTTTTCTTATTTTACTTGTATACGCAAGCAATAATTTCGTATCATTTTCATTTATTCATCTTGAAATACAAATGAAACAATATATAGTCGTATATCTGTTGGTATTATTAATCTCTGGATATTATGCGCAAGAAACCACAACAATTTCACCATCTAGCTGGAATGGTGATTCAGACTTGTGCACGGTTGATCCGTCAGCCCCTGTGACAAATGATAGGCCTTTTCCAATATTTCCGAATATTACAGAATTTGCTTTAGAAAGAGTAGAAGTCAGACATGTCTTAAATGCAACATTACAAAGTGTATTAACTTTGTATCAATATTTATATGATTATAAAGCTAATAAATTGATTTTGGTTAAAAATACAAATGGTTTGATTGATGTTGAATATTTTTATTATGACAAATTAAAAAAAGCAACTTATTTTCGTGGAGACTTCTGTATTGTTACTGATATCGACAAATATATCGATACAGGTATGTTCAAATATTTTAAACAAACTTTTAATTTAAAAGTTTTTTTTTGTAATTTATTCATTAGATGGTACATCGGCTATTGAATTAGAGGATAATTCATGGCACATTCGTCCATTGAATGAATTTTTTCTATTTTCCAATGATGATCAACGACGACCATTAATTCAACCAAAATATATTGGTCAAAGTACAGTACGTGGAATTCCAGTTGATCAATGGGAAACTTGTATAATTAATCGAGGTAATCTTCAAACATTTCGACGTACATGGTCATTTGGACGAAAAGATTTTGTTACACCACTTGGTCCTATTCGTGATTTAGCTTTTCCGGTTCAAGCCATTATAAATTCTTCAATTATGCTTACAAATGGTATGCGAGTTGCACAATTTGATGAAGTATTTAATGTTTATTCATACAGACCAGGAATTATAGAAAGTCCTGAACAATTAGCTCCACCAAAAGGTGTATTTTGTCGTTATGATTCAGGTCAAACATTAGTATCCCTTCAAGACGCTGGTTTTACATGGCCCGATCGTTTTAGTGTTCGTGTTGATGCATCCTCATCACGTGAAACACGATGGCACAGATTTCATTTACGTTACGATCGTGGTCGTAATGGTGGTTCAAAACGTATTCGTTATGATTATTTACCAAATAATGGAGAAGATTTTGAATCTATTATACATGATTATGGTAATGATTTAACTTATATTATTGATCGTCGTACTGGCACATGTAAAATTAATCGAGGTGTTCAATATCCTGATGTTAATCCAACTCGTGACCCAATTAGTTTCTTTATTCAAAATGAAGCGAAGTTTTTTGATTCAGGCAACAAAATATGGGAAGTTAATGGAATTCGAGGTAAGAGAAATTCTTCTGTTAGCTTGTTTGTTTCTGTTTCTATCATCATTGTTTGTTCTTAATTATTATCATTTTAGCATGCCGAGGCAATTCAATTAAATGTTCATCACTAGTATCTTCAATTGATAACTTTCCTGTTATTATTGAACCTGATACTGGTAAACCAACTGGTGAAACGTGGGATGCAACAAATGTTGAATATGGTTGGTCAGCACGTTCAATTGTTGCACAAGCAGCAGCTGGTGGGGACAGAAGTTTTGATTATCCAGTATATTTATATTTAAAATTATATCGACTTGATGATCCAAATAATCCATCGACAACAAATATTCGTACTGAAGACGTTGAATATGAATTTTATGAAATGTCTCATGAACTAACTTCAAATGATTTTGACACAAGTATATGTTATCGCTCAGGTGATTTAGAATATTTACATCTTGGTTTTATACTTAAAATTGATCAAGATAATATTGTTGATGGAAATCATCTAAATAGACGTTTCCTTGAAATGGATGTTCATTTTAATTTGGCTGATAAGATGGGAATACGATTCTCACGTATTACTGATATTGATATATTTCATGAAAATGCTTCGAAGGATGTTAATGTCTTTTTTACTTTACTTGGTCCAACACCAAATCCTGAATCACCAACTCTTGTCTCTGAAAATGAAATAACAGCTGCAGTAGCACGAGATAACCTTAGAAAAGCAATTGATGGTGGAGTATTTCAATTCTCAATGAGATTAACTGATAATTCAACTACATTTATTCAATTTCGTGCATTAAATGGTTCATTAAAAGATTCAAAACAATTTATGTCATCCCATGCAGTTGGAGATGTAGGTACTAAAGAATCATATTCATCAGGTGCACAAGCTGGTGCTGTTATTGGTGGAATACTTGTTGGACTTGTTGCTGGTATTCTTATAGCAGCAGTAATTCGAATTGTACGTAAAGAACCAATGCCAAATATACCAATCTTGCCAAGCTCATTTACCAACCCTTTACCAAACATTAATTTTTATAATAAAAAACCACCAACTGATGCAAAAGCTACATCCGATGCAAAAGCTACATCCGATGCAAAAGCTACATCAGATGCTTAAGACTATTTAAATAGAAAAAAAGAAACTTGAATGTTTTCTATTCTTTTTTGTCTTTCTTTTTTTTTTAATAAAATAAACAAAAAAATACATTGTAGTTTCAAATCATAAATTATTTTCATTATTATTTCGATGATCATTAGTTTTATATCGAAATGAACCATATTTATTTGACAGGTACTCTACAGTGAACATGTGGAAATATTTAAGTTGGTATTCTTTAGTACCAAAAAATGTTCGATCTTGTAATATTATATAATATCAGAAGATGACACACCAACACAGATGAAAAGAATCTTATGAAGATTTTACTTACAATCGAATGTCGTAAGATCGAAATCGTACCATCGTATGAAACCGTGCAAATATCTTACGATAAGATTCTTGCAATGTCTGATAATTGACATCTCGTAAGATCTTATACCATCGTATAAGATCATTATTAGAGACCCTACTACTCATAAAAATGGTTTTGATAACGATAGTTTCATGTATTTAAATTAAAGTTTCCGCAATTAAAGATGTTCTAGTTTAGACACTAATTTTTAAGAATTGAAATTACATCTTCTATGTAGTTGTACTAATCTGCTAAAAAAATCACACTAGAGATAATCCAATCAATTTGATTAAATAGAAGTAAGTTTTGTTTAAATAGATTTTTTTAATGTCTTTTAAAATATATTTTGTAGTTCTTTATAAATAAATATACATATACGAGTAAAGATAAAGGACTATCTTGTGAAAACAAGATGATAGACGCCGAACATAGAAGAAAATCAAATACAAAACTTTGTGAGAAACTTTGGAAAATCCTACATGAACTGTATAAGATCTGATATTTAGAGCATGCAAGAAACATACAGTATAATTTTATCAGAAATGATCGATTTAAGATTGACATTTAAAATCGTCAAAGATCCTATATGATTTTCATACGATCTTGTATGATGATACAATAAGTTCCTATAATAATCTTGTAAGATCTTATAAAAGGATTGTTTAAACTGAGAACTGTAATATCACCTTAAATGATTTTATTGAAATCGTTTTTGATTTTTAATTGTTTTCTTTTCTTCACTTACGAATGAATAAGGATTTTAAGATGGAAGAGAGAAAGAATTAAATTCACAAGGTTGTTAATATTAAAAATTTTATAAGAATCAAAATCAAAACAATTAAAAAAAAAGAAACCACAGTTACATAATCAAGTATGACATCTTTCATGTAAATTTCTTTGAATAAAATTTTGTTACTCAATTAATATAACAAAGACAAAATGATTTCTCGTTTTTTCTTCATCAACAAAAGTATTATCATGATTCGTTTACAGCGCTATCTACAATGTATTGATTCGCTTTGTACGTAGCTCCAATTGCATTTCAACTACATATCAGTATCATTCATCAATCGTTAAAAATGCCACAATTGGAAAAGTAAGATTTGATTCGTACAGTATTACATGTAAGAGTAACTTCCCATTTCTAATTCAAAATATTTATATATGTATGCAGAAAATATCTTAAGAAAGCATTCGAGTGAAGAAAAAACATTTATAAATCATAATAAAAAGAATTTTAGTTGAATATTTTTAGCCAAAAGTATGAATGAATGCCAATCCGATCGGTAATGTTTTCATTTTCTATATTTATTTAAGAATTAATTAAATTTTATATTTTGTTTTTGTTTAGAAAACCAGAAATTTCTTCACCAACTGAATCTAATGATAGTGGAATACATGTCAATATGGAACGAACAACAACAGTTTGTATTCGATAGAATTAAGTTATTTTTCCATGAAAACCTTTATTTTAGATTACTGATGATACAAATCTTCCATTAGGTTGGGAACGTTTTGAAGGTAAAGTAGTCATTATATATATTGAAATGAAATTAAAAAAGTTGTTGTTGTTTTTTTTTTGTTAGATGAAGAAGGTGTTTATTATTGGCATAAACGAACCGGTACGGTAACACGCGAACGTCCAGAATTAATCATCGATTCTCCATCATCAACGCTTTCATCGTCTTCATCAAATGATACATGTTTTGAATCGAATTCACTATTATATAAAAGTGAATCGAATCCCTCAATTAAAGTAAATAAAATTACAAATCAGTGTTTTATTCAGACGGGTGCCCGGAGGGCGGTGCTCTCCGCCCCCGAAAATCGAGTTTGCCCCCTCGAGACTCGTGATCATCGCGCAATGAACTATATGGCCCCCCCCCCCCCCGAAAAAAATTTTTCGCCCTTCCGAAATTTCAAATCGCCCCTCCGGAGAAAAATTACAAATAGTTTTTTTTCTACTTTTTCGATGATGAAAACTTGAATTTATGTTCAAATTTAATATCACGTTTTTTTTGTGTAGTACATGATTGAAAATGATTTCTTAATGGGACCTACTATAGTCACCATATTTCGTTTAGAATTAAGTAGAAGTCAAGTGCTAGGAATATTTTGTTTCTAGCAAAGGCACCTCGCCAAGTGATAAATCGTTTTTTTTTTATTAAAACTTACACCATCACATAGATCCTACTGAAACTAGATTGGATCTTTATGAGTTATAGTCATTCTTAGTAAGATTTCCAATAAAATATCACGTCTTGCCTCAAATTACTTTTAAAACTGAATTTCTCGTTCAAACATTGCATAAACTAAATTGTTAATAAAATTCAGTTTTAAAAGTAATTTGAGGCAAGACGTGATATTTTATTGGAAATCTTACTAAGAATGACTATAACTCATAAAGATCCAATCTAGTTTCAGTAGGATCTATGTAATGGTGTAAGTTTCAACAAAAAAAAACGATTTATCACTTGGCGAGGTGCCTTTNCATTTAGTTATTGATGGAAGTTTTTGTCAACCACTTGAAAGTACTCGTTTAACACGAACATCTAATGTAAGAAATTAGAAAGATATTTCATGAATGTCTTTTTATATTTTGAAATATTATTTTAGTGGTCACCAAATGAAACAACAATACGTTCTTCAAAAAATATTCCATGTGTTACAAAATGTATGAATAATATTCTTTATTTTAGTTTAGAATGAATATATAAATACATTGAATAGTACTAATTGAAGTTGAATAATGACTTTTTATTGATAGTATAAATGTAAAATAATACATAGTTTTTTTTAAGCAAAAAAAAAAGGACTAGAGATTAATTTTTTTTATCAGAGATAGACTCTCACTGAAGTAATTTCATAAGGTAAAGTATATTCTGTCTGATACAAGAGTAACTGAGAAAGATTAGCGAAGAAATGTGCGGAACCAAGTTGTGTTAGTACGCAGTTCGCATAACTTCTATTACAGTAGTGCGAGTCATAGCTCTATTAAATCTGGCCGAGTACTGGTTCCAGCTTATGAGCAAAGTCTCCCAGCCGATTAGTCGCTCTTATTGGTGCATTTTTGGTATATTTTTAAATGTGAATTCTGTGATCATTCTCAAGAAGGCTAATTTTTGAATGATGACTTGTAACTTTTCAAATTACCTTAAAAATGCGATATCTTCACTCTGATGAGCTATGAGATAGAATTTAGTTTACGGTGTTTGTAGATCATTAGGGTCCGCATGATAGACATAGTCTTGACGCAAAAGCGATTAACCAGTTGAGGAATTTCCTTAATTGGCAAAAACTATTTCAGAATTTATTTGCATTAAATCTAAAAAAAAACTCTTAAATATTCTTGTTTTGATTAACTCAGTCGGCAAGAGTCACTTTTTTATGATTTGTTCTGAATTTTGCTTTGATTAATGTGATTTATAACATAATTCATTAATAATCATAGAAAATTTAACTACAATTTGTAGTTCCAGTTCTAACAACTCTTTCGGTTAGTTCAGACCTCGATAAGTTTTTAGTTTTTTGGTCCCACATACCTGTTGTCATATATTAAATTGAACTACAAGCACTAAATGTATGTAATTAATACATTTACTTCAAAATACTTTAAGTTTAATTCATTTCTTACAGACATATTTTCAATATAAATGAAAATGTTTAGATGAGTACAGTAATATATTGACTATTCAAAACGAAAATATTACAGTTATGAATGTTCAAATGTTTTGTCGAACTCTGTTTATAGTATATCGATATCGGTACATTCTAACAGAAAAATAAATTGAGCAAAAAAAACCAACTATTCACTCATGTTCACCGAATACAAACATTAATCAGTTTTATTTTGTTTATTCATAGGCGGCGAAGCCACAAAGCTTAAGTAGATCCAAAAAATATTTTTTCTTCTTGTTTCATTAGATTAATATACTTCAGTAGTTCATCACAATCCTTGTACAAATGTCATTATTTTTCGACGTCTAATAATCATATTTTCTAAGTCAAACAGATTGAGAAATAAAAGATTCTTCATACTTTTCTTGGAAAATTTGAGTTCGAAAAAACGAAGCACTATATATATTTCATCTTAATGTCATACAAAAACTCGTCTTCTCTTATTTTTAACTACTAGATTCATATCATATAAAAAAATGTTGAACCTATCCTCGATTGAAAACATTCCACTGCCTATGTGTCTAAATCAATAAATTAGAAGAGAAAAATCAAAGTCAGAACTAAAACTATTTGAAATTGTAAGGATCTTTCTATTGGAATTCGAGTTTTAAAATGAAAAGAATAGATAAGAAATGAAGAACACTAAATTTATCTATTGTCGACATAAGAAAGAGTTTTTATTTGATTTACGAAATAAAATAATTTAAAATAAATTGTTTAAAAATATATTTAATTTTAGCTGAACAACAATTATATAAATTATACGCTCAAGCCTTAGCTGATTCAGAAGTAACACAAGATTGGAGTAATTGGGTTGAAATGATGACAATTAATTGTCAAAAATGTTGTTCTGAAGCTGAAATTTCTCATCCAATTGCTTTTCGTACTGGTCGACAACCGTAAAAAAAAAAAACTCACAATTTATCTTTTTCTTATTTTAATATTTGTATCCTATAGACAATTATCTCGAAATATTCGCATGTTACAAGTCGAACGTGATAGTTGGCTTTTATGGAATCGAGCACGTGATACATTAAATAATACCCGACAAGATCTTCCAGAAGTGGTAAATATTAATTTATTTTTTTCATTTTGTGAAACACGATGTAAAAGTAGTTTTAAAGTATAAAAGTAAACATTTGAATCTTCCACAGATTGTGACAAACACTAGTCAGAGATCATTATAGAAGGCGACAAACACATTTGTAACAATGCATCCTGCTCGCGTCACTTTTGACAGACGTTGATATACGGTCACAAATCGTATATTAAGAACTTCTTGTTATAAAATATGAACTATTTTCCTATTGCATATATGGAAAAGAAGGATGTTGAATAAATGTGTTTTTAAAATAAATAGATTAAAATAATCTTCCTGTGACTATCAACAACAGCTATATCGTGTTTCACAATGTAATCTTGTTACGATTGCACTAATAGCTTTTATTAAATATATATATTTTTATGTTATTAAGATCCCAGGTAGTAGTGATCGATTAATTGTCGAACATCATCTTTTAAATAATCCACAATTACGTATGGCTAAAGCCGTACAAGGATGGTTACAAACAATAAAACTTGATGAACGTTATCAAACAGATCTTAAAATGGCAATGACAAAATTAGAACCAAAAAGAATTTATTGGTTTGTTATTTATTTAGAATTTATTTTTCATTAGATTTTTTTTTTCATTATTTAGGGAAAAAACGTGTCATTTTCTTAAATCATCGTATAATGCAAATATTCCCAATCCATATATAACTTGTTTGGTAAAGATTAATAATAAATAATAATTATATTAAAACTATTTTCATAGGATTTTGATGCTGCACATAAACAAAAACGACGTTTATGTGATACAGATGAACAAGAAGAAAATGATTTACTTCAAATAGTATTTAGTTTATTGCGTGTTGGAGAATATTCGAAAGTAATTATAAAAAATTTATTTAACATAGAAGAAAAATTTCTTTTTATTTAAGGCTAAAAATATATGTAAATCAACTGGTTATCATTGGTTAGCAGCATTATTATCTGCTAATGAATTATATCATGATGAAAATTATTATTGTTCAGAAGTAAATGATATTGTTTATCCTGTTGAAGGAAATCAAAAACGTATTCAATGGATTGAAAGCATGTATGAATTGTCTATGGATGTAAGTTATAAAAATTCAAATACAAATTCTAGGAAATCATATATTAACCACTATGATTTATCTATAGTAAAAAATAAGTAAAGACATTTGATTGAAGTTTATCAAATTTGAAGAATGTTTTTAATAAAATTCAAATAGTTTTGGAATTTATTGTTCAATTCAAAGAATTTTTTTTTCAAAACTTAATTATAATAAATAATACCGAAATTTCAAATGTGATACCACATAGGAAATCATAAGAATATTATGATTTTTTTCTTCCCATAGAAAAATACTAATGAATGATATTCGTTGTGAATGTGATGAAATAAAAATTGAAATCGTATTTTGTTGTTTAATAAACGTCTTTTGAAATCAACATTAGTCCCATTGCTTATGTATCTTATATTATACAAAATATAATCATGTTTTTCTTATCGTTTCTTATTACAAAACTTGAAATTCGACTCCTATATTTATATATAATCATTTATATTATAAGTTTCAAAAGTTCAACTCATATCGAACGATAAATTTTTTGCGCAAAACCCATATGACTTATTTTTATATGAATAAACTTTCTCGATTTACTTTCAGTGCACTTTTGTGAGACACGACCTAAAAGGATTATAAGAAAATATCTCATAGATGCAGTAAAAAATTAAAAAAAGCTTAGTAATCCTATTGAGTAATATTGAATAATTTATAATTTTGTGAAGAGAAATGTACGTCCACGGTTTTTCGGCCTTTGTCTCTCTCCTCCACAAACCATGACACATATTACAATGGACATAACAGGCATATTAACAACACTTTTGTCTCCTTCGGTTCCCACAGTGAGCATCTGAAATGACCATTTGGCTAAAAATGAAAATTACACTATTTCAAGATTTAGATACACCAAAGTATACTTCAAATTATAGTCTATCTAATGATATAAATAATTTTTTACAATCCTCAAAGAAATTGAAAAATATAGTCTGAAAATTGCGATGTCATGAGGAAAAATTTATATCTGACCAAATTAAAATTTTCAACGAACAAATCAAGTACATTTTCTGAATGTTCAAGTTGAGCTCTATATAGTAGGACTAGTCTCTTAAAATGAGCACAATTTATTCACATCCTACCTCTAAACTTTGCTAAATTGTTGCCAGAATGTTCTTCTATCTACTGTTTCTATTCTTTGTTAGTGCAAACATTTCTGGACTGCACAGTAGATTTTCAAGAAAAAAAATTTCTCGAGAAAATGAAAGTAAGAATCTCCTCCTAACATTTTTCGTTGAAAAACGTTTTTTAAAATGCTTTTCTGCATCATATCTAACGAGGGAACGTTTCCAAGTGATTAAAAGCTTTTGAGCTCATATGTTGCCCATTAGGTAGGGAACCACTAGATTAGAGAAACCTCCAAAGGATTCGTACCCATATTGAGATTTGACAGAGATATCAAATTTTTAGTGGATTTTCGCTTCTGAATCCTAGTTCTACAGCAAAATCATATTTTCGAATTTTGACCTGAAACTTTGCCCAAATAAAGGCCTCGATCAGAGTAGCTTGCATAAAAAATTTCAGAATTTTTGGACATTGTATCTCCAAGGTATCAATCTTTTAAAATATCCATGTTATCTATAGAAAAGTGCCTATATTTTCAAAAATTGATACCTTGGAGATGCAATGTCCAAAAATTCTGAAATTTTTTATACAAGCTACTCTGATCGAGACCTTCATTTGGGCAAAGTTTCAGGTCGAAATTCAAAAATATGATTTTGCTATAGAACTAGGGTCCAACAGGAAAAATCCACTAAAAATTCGATATCCCTATCAAATCTCAATATGGGCACAAGTCCTTTGGAGGTTTCTCTAATCTAGTGGTTCTCTATCTAATGGACAACANTATATATATATGTGACAAACACATTCTTTTAAGTCGTGAAATCTTAAAACATCTGAAACAATATCTTGATAAAGATTTCGCATATTTTTCGTATTGCCAACAACATGTTTTATTTTTTTCAACTAAAAAAGTTCTGTTGATAAATTAATTATTAGTTTCTTATCAACAAATTTTTTTGAAATATTTTGATGAACTTTTTCTAATTTACTATGAATTCAATTTACTAAACCTTCTTTTTCTTTAGTCAAACAAGTATTACCTTAGTTAAAATCACATTTTGCTTCTGATATAAAATAGGGTATGGCTGTGGGTTACTCTATATTCATATCCATATTCTATTGTACGTGGTACACATAGTATTTTTTCTTCCTTCTGATAAAGTTTACGAATAAACATTAATGATTTTATAGTGTTATAAACTAGCTTCATGCTAAATTTTCAAAATAAAAAAACTTCTTTCGATAGTGGATAATTGTTTGCGCAAGAACACAAAGTCCTCAAGAAAACAAGACAGACAATTGATACCATATAAGAATACAAATATTTACGACTTTCTTACATCTATTCTGTTTTACCAGTGTACCATGACTAGTAACAACGAATATGAAATTGTTCTAATCGAGAATGTAATAGATGCTTGTTGATGTGTGAAAATACTTGCAGAAGAGTTTGCTTCACATGATGCTTTGATGGCTTTTAATCTGCTAACAGCCGAACAATTATTTGATCAACGCATTTGGCCATTAATGATCGATCCTATTTTAGAGTGTGAAAAACATCCGTACAATGCATCTAGTCTCCATCAATTTGTTCGTCATGATTTCGACCAAGAATTGAAACCGAATATGGTTTTATTTATTATAGCTGGTGCAACATGCTCTAGATACGTAGGTAAAAATTTAGGTGTGCGATTACGTGCTCACCTTTGTAACTATGCACATGATACAAAATGATTTCGTTATACATTCGTACAAATTTGTCATCCGACAACACATAATATCTATGTTACAAAATTAAATGGAAAAGAAACGAGAATTGTTGATCCTGCCACTTGGCTCTGAAAGAGGAAAGGCAATGGATTACCTCGTCCTTTCCAAGATTATAAAGATAAACCTGTCGTCAATATTCTTATCAATTTGAATGAAGGAAAATACAATCAATGAGGAACGGTTTTATTCTCTAATACTTCATTATGAAAATTTTCAGTCAATAGGTAATAATACTGACAGAAAACATTATTATTTTTCGAATTTTCGTAATATTTTAGTAAGAATAAATTTTGATAAAATTCGAATATATTCAGTAATATTCTAGCAAATAACTTCGATTTATTGAACAATTTGAAACAGTGTGGGTGTGGATCTCCTCAAACTTCAGCCTCAGGCCCACACCGCCCACCCCCGAGATATCTAGAGGAAGCCGATTTCAATTCCAAACAAGTGCTTTCCTTTCGTAGTAATTGATTTTGCAACTATGCTTCATGAAAGGAAATCAAATTCGTTCAAGCAATTAGTAAACTCTAGTCATCCTTTGCAGTAATTAAATGAAAAATGATGCATAAAAATACTGTAAAAAAATGGTCGAAATTAGATATATTTCAACCACCAACAAGATCTTATTGTACCATTTGTAGTGAGATCAACAATATCCATTTCCTATGATTATATATGAATAATGGTCATTGCTATCGAAAATATTTGAAAGAAAATAATGTACAAGTTTTCTTTGTTATTATATGAATTGTGAGTCCTTAGTCATTGTGAAAGAAACTTTATTTTGATCCATTAAGCCTTTTTTTTAATAGGTTTTCAAACCTCAAATTAAACGATTATTCAATAAGCTATCGAATTTTTTTCTATGGACTCTGGAGTTATTATTGAGTTAATATTTCTCATGCTCTATGATTGATATACGATAGATTTCAAAAGTTTATTCACCCTATATCTAAGATCATTTTGAAATATCTACCAATATGGTATATTCGAGATCTTCGGCATACTTCACAACTCTATTTAAATCTTTATTCAACTTGGTACACATATTCTTGAATATACGTTTTGGACATCATTTCTAATTCTAATCTGTCTGTTTTGAATACCTTTTATTTGATATGTGACTGACCATGTTTCCAGATATTTTAATGATTATTTCATGTCATAACAATATTAGCTTCTATTGCTGCTTTATAATATTCATATTATCAGAATAAATTCAAGTTACAAAGAAGGAAAATAATCATGAAAATCTTTTGAATGTACCATTGGCTTTTTAATAATTAATCATTTTATCTTCATACAATTGAGTCGTGTTATATCTCTTGTAAAGTTTTCTGTCACAGTTTCTAGTTTATGATACTTAATATTGAATTTGGTCAGACTAGGTAAAAGGGTCTTTGACTCATTCTGAAACTGTTCAACATAATAAATGTTCGCAAACTTAACGTCAAGTGACGTAATATGAGGATATTCGACAACTGAATATGACTCATTATGATAGGATTCCATTTCATGAATATTTGAAAACATCGAGCCACCTGAACAAAAAAAATCGTTCTTCAACGGTACTCAATCTAGCATCGATAAGACAGTAACATTATTGTAGATAATATTTAGAAACTTATTGCCAATTGATATGAGACGATCAAATGCAAATGAAAGTGAGAAGAAATGATAATGAGCGACATTAGTAGTACAATACTGTACGAAATAACGCAGTTGTTCATATGCTACATTAGTAAAAGTTTCTTGAATATCGTTATTTGAAAAATAAGGAATTGGATCATTGCTTTGAAGCTTAGTATTGATATAAAAGATGAATTTATAAAGTCGTGGCATATAAATAAAAATTTCATTATGAAGTTGAGTACTATCAACAAATCTAGTTCGATTTTTTATACTAAGATAGAAAACTAATTCTTCAAGATTATGCATGCGACGAACAAGTGGTACAATATGAGTGTCACATCCGTAATTTAAATGCTTGATTGTCAATGAGAAACATTTCAAATCAAGTAGATCATCCTATAAAATTCAAAGGAGCAGATGATTATAAATTCAATCGAAAACCAAGCAACAACTTATTTAATTCTTTAATTAATCTTTTCTTTACTCTATGTGATACATCACATAATAGTAACAACAACTAGTGACAAAAGTATGTGAGGTTGAAGTACATTAGGAGACAAATAAATATGGAGGAAATCATTTAAAAAAAAAATAAAAATAAAATTTTTTTATCAATATCTCAAGCAAACTCATCATTGTATACATAATTAAAACAAGAAACATTCGTCTTTGTCTAACATTTAATTCTATTAAGGGTGTGGATGTGTGTGTCTGGGCCTGAGTGTAGATGAATGGTAGACCTACACCCACACACCATCCAATGTCTAGACGTAGGATGTAAAAAATCATTTCTCCTCAAAATCCCGCCAAATTGTTAACCTATTTTTAATTCGTTATCAAGATGATAGAAATGCAATTTGTTCCTCAAGTGTTTCATCATAAAAAAAAAAACGATTGCCATGGGTACTAAGAAAACTAATGTGTTTGTCTGAAAATTCCTGTACATTATGAAGAAGAAAAAGACTCTTTACGAATCTTTAATCCTACTCTTCATACGTTACTCAACAATTCAACAATAATCAAACGTACGAAGTAAAAAATATGAGTCTGAACATCTCTTTGTTTCCAGACCGACAAATATGTCCATTATCAAAGGAAGAAAGAGTTAAAATGTACGATTCTTTTGACCTAATTATGTTATAGCAACAACCCAAGTACCTCAGTAGACGATGAAAAAGCATCACAGATAATTCTATAATAATTTGTGCTGCATTGTAGTAAATTTTTGTTCGTTTTGTAATAGTCATAAATATTTCCTGATATGCCAGAAGTTAAAGACTTCCAAGTTCTTCGAAATGGTTTACTTACTTCAAAAAACGTAACATCCGTTGCTTTGCAACATTCAATAAAAAATTCAATTTTCCCAGGTGAAAATACTACGAAGCCCCACTTGCAGTCGAATCTTTTTGGCACCATTATTTTATTTCATTGATAAATTATTGTCTGTTCGTTATACAACTCCAGTCCGTTTGCTGATCGAATTTATTCACAATGCAATAACCCAGTAGATTGAGAACTAGATTGTTCGCAGGTCAACGACCTTTCGTTCAAAAGTAGGAAAAGTGTTTCTCACACTATTGTTAATTGCTACAAGAAAAATTTTACTAATGTATCGCTCACTATTAAGGTAGTTTCCTTGATGATCACTACAATAGTTGTGTAACTTCTTCGTAACATACTTCGTATTAAATCATAGTACCGGAAAGAAAAATATGTTTTTCGGTGAATACCACCTTCATTACCTGATTTTTCCTCTGTGCAAGTGTAGACTTCATCATTCTGTTTGTTATAAGTACACTCGATGTAGACACATTTCTTATCAGAAAACAAGATTTATCATTGTTGGAGTCGCCCATTTTTTACGAAATTGATAACTCAGATCTTCCTTATTATACAATTAATAATGTGAAATGATGTTTACTAATTTACATACAGTATGGAAGTCGCTCTCTGCTCAAATGAAAGCTCATAGAAAAATCAAAATGAACTATAAAAAGATTTTCCGAGACTATCTAGAAAGCTCTATATATTTGACGCCATGATTCTGTTGACTATTATCCAGTGTTTTGGTAAAACCTTTTATACCATTTTGTAAATCAACTTGCGCTAAAGATTATAAGGAGAGAGAATCCGAAAGTTCGTTCAAATTGTGCACAAAAAGAAAAGGAAGAAAAAAACCTATTATATTTAGATCACCCCCTAATTCATCATTGGCAATATATGTTTAAGTAATTTTCTTCTTGTTTAGAGATTATTTATCAAAGCTGGATGTAGGTGTGACTGTAGGTATTGGTACTGATATGGCTAAAGAGAACACTCATCGACACCCATACCCTCGTAAAGTACTTAACCATGAGCATGAACTATACAAATTGAGACTAAAAATTATTTCTTGAAAACAAATCAATAGTAATATTCCAGCCGTTTAAAGCTTACCAAAACAAAAGTGAATGAGAGATAAGCGCCTTTGTTTCATTGATTTAGAAAAGAAAAATATATCCTACAAACATCATATTATGCATGATAACTCAAAAACACAGAACTATGACTCATTTCTGCCATTTGCAGTTGAGTAAAGAGATTTATTCTTTTCTTCAATGTTACTTTATCATATATCAGGCAAAGATACATTCATGCATCCAGATTTTTTATTACTATAACTAAGTAACTAATGGCAATCTATATATCCATTTCTCTAGTCATTTGTTCGGTCTTTATTCGACCTTCGATGTAGGCGATACCGAAAGTTCTTTCTCCATGCAAGAAACGTCATTATTTGAAATGTTAAAAAATTATGATCGTTCATTAAACGTTGATGAATAACAATTTTTTCAAATATTCTGATTCGTATCACAGAGATTATAAGACAAAATAGTCAATAAGCATTTTCTGTCACATTTTCATTGATAGATGATTTCTACAAATGTTTTTACTAAATATCGATTACTTCTTTCATCGGTTGAATCATTTTATTCACAGGAAACCTTTCGTCAATGCAATGAAAGCTTGTTTTATTCTATCAAAATCTTTCAATAGAATATTTTATTCATTTATATTGTTAGATTTGATTTCTAATCGATATGTTCAAAATTCTAGATTCGTTTCAAAATAATTATTCATTTAAAATAAAAGTACGTTTATTAATTATAAATAACCACTTTATTCTTTTAGACTATTTATGGTTAAATACTTTGTTTAAAAGAAAAAAAACTAATAAAAGAAAATATGGGATAAAATATTTAACAGTTATTGTTTCATTCTTTTAATCTAATGTATTGAGCATGATGAGGAAATGCTTTAAGTGAATGAAATGTCTCTCGTTGTTGTTTTGACTTGTCATCAGACATAAAATTCGGATTAAATCGATGATCATATTTAAAATCTGTTAATTGTTTGTTAAGTTTAAATGCATGTACAGTTCGTACACCTGCAAATCGAGCTAAACCAAATTGAAGAAAATAGTTAAAAACAATAAATCGTTTTTCTCCTTGTGGATGAACTAAAACATGTGCACCCGTTATATTATTATTTCTAGCGCAATATTTTCCAAATGTTAGAGTTTCATTAGAATCAGGTACTTGAATATAAATATTATCGAGTTCTTCATCTGAACAAAAATCAAATACACGAAGAATTAATGGATGTGCTGGGCTTATTATATTAAGCAATACTACAAATCTCATTTGAAATGTCATTAATAAACGTTGTCCATCAGGAAATATTGATGTTAAACCTGAACTAGCTCGTTTTTGATATCCATTAACAATAGAAGCATCAAGTGCTAATATAGGTTCACTCATACCAGGTCCAATTAAATACATTGCATTAAGATTAGTTGCACAAGCATAAGAACGTCCATATGGATCATTTGGAATACTTTTTAATTCCATAAATCCAATACCTGTTCCAATTCCAGTTGTTGAACCTGGTGCAGTTGGATATTCAAATTGAAATATTCTTTGTAATGTTCCGTCAGGAAAAAAATGTCGAGTAGTATTTTGAAATATAATTTGTGATGGATTCTTTTCTGTTAGTGTTAATGGTACTATATAATCAGCAACAAAAAGAGAACCATTATTTAATCGACTAAATCCATGTGGATTAAAATTAATTAATGATGATGCATTTTGTAATATTGATTTTGAAAAACCTGTTTTAGCATCAATAAAAACTATATCACCAGGACTAACAGCATTATCATTACACATCATAGTTACAAGAAATGTTGAATTACCAATTGCTAAAAATTCATCTGTACATGCTCCAGATACATCAAGTGCATATAAAAATTGAGGACCTTGTCGAGGATCCTTAGGAATACGCCAAACAAAAATTTCTTTACTATTTGAAAGAAAACTAAGTAAACCACCTGTTAAATAAAATTCACGGTCGACAGATATACCTGAATGATGTGGCTCATTTCCTGATTGTCTAATTCTATCTGTTGTATTTGAAACGAGAGGAATTCGTTTTATTATATGCCCATAATGAGGAGAATTTTCATCAAAATCGATAACAGCAACAAAATCTGCAGCATTTGGAACAGAGGTTTCTTGTCCAGACCATACATATAATACAGATGGATAACATCCATACGATTGATCAATTTGATGTGCATCAATTAAATCAACTTTCACAAACCATGAATATATAATTATGAATATATATAAGATTATTGAATTATACCATGCCATGTTCATATTAATGATTTAATACTTCTTTTTTTTAATAATTTTTATCGAGTATATTACAGCTACGTATATACATATTTATAGGATAAGCAATTATATATATAGATATAATCAAGTTATTTGCATCAATCATTTGAAGCAAAGTATAAAAACGTTATTTGAGGACAATATTCGTTATGTATCAAAATAGTGTATGTTGTTTATTGAGAAACGAAAAAAGAAAAGAAAAATGCGATATTTCTCATTACGTAATGTCGTCACATATACTGGGTGGCCCAAAGGTAAGAAAACAAAAAAAATTGAATATCTCCATTGTGGCTCGAGTAAACGAGCTGATGTTTTTGTCAATGATAGAGGCATGTTCAAACTTTATATCCATAAAGACATGCCTAGAGAGACCCTTTGTTAAGTATCACTATTGATCTCAACAAGAAAATTTTACTTTTTCACAGATAGAAGAAAAAACAATATACAGAATAGCGCAAAAGTTACTTTATCGAAAAAANAGACTAGCTTTCATGAAAAGATGCAAAAGTTTTGAACAAAGTCTCTTCAAGATATTGACATTTTTTCATGGCTAGAGTATTCAACATGCAATTTTAGAAAGTTTCATATATCAAATAGGCTTTATTTAAAACTTCTGATGTTTTTAAAGGAAGCTAGTCTAGTTGAATTCCCTACATGAACAACGTTTGAGATCAAAATTCGAAAATGTCAGTTTTTCGAAAACCTGAAGCTTCTAGAAAAAAACATTCGATAACTTAATCAAACCCAAATCCTTTTAGAACTTTTATTAAAACATAGTGTGATACCAAAGGCAAAAAAAAATCATTGAAATCGGAAGGGAACCACTGAAGAGATTCCCTCGTTATTTGTACTTCTAAATGCACTCTATCATGTTTTTATATTTGTATAAACCTAAATAAAACAAATTTTTCAAATTGGGCATGATGAAGTCTCGGAATATATCTTTTAGTTAAAGCCTGTATTGAAAAATGATGCAGGAGATATATATATATATTCTTTTATTAGATATACTTTGAAAATAAAGATAGAACATAATTTATAATTCACTGTGCAATAAACACAGGATCATCTCTTACATCTCTCATTTCTTAGTTATGGGATAGAATTCAATTTAAATATAGACTTTCATCACAATAGCTACAAGCAGCTTCAATCAGATAAGGTCAAGAACTGAAGAGATTTGAATACATGATTAAATAAAATTTTTCAAAACTTAATCATCAAATTTCCAATTATTAAACTTTTATCATGCTCATTTAAACATTTCTTTTACAATTTTTATAGAATGCAACATCTTCCATAGTTTCTCTTGATCAGCAACCAGTGAGTGATGATGTTCATCAACAAATCTTACGTTTACAACAAGACGATCCTGACTCAAATATATTTCGTACTCGAACTGTAAATCAACCGCCAATATCAATTGCTCCACCAAAACTATCTGAACTTTCATCACGAAGTGATACTTATCATATGATACCAATTGAACGAATGGAACAAATTCGACAAGAAACAGCACATGTACTTGATCTTGATGTTGATGGTCAACAGCAATCAAAAATAAAAAAATTATCTGGAAAAAAGAAAAAATCAAATAAAAAACGTCGACTATCAGCACGTTTACGACGACGTACTGTAGCACTTGCACAAACTATTACAAATAATGATCAAGAAATTTCTTCAGAAGATGATATTGATGAAGAAGGTAATCAAGATGATGATGACGATGATGATGATGAACCATTTATTATTAAACAATCATCAGGTATTATTAATGGATTTGATGTTAAATCAACTAATAATATTGTTGATATTACTAATAATAAAACTGAAAATGATGTGTAAGTTATATTCATAGAAATAATATTAAAAAAATGTATTATGATTAAAATTTTAGTGAAGCATTATTTGGTGGTGCTGATAAAGATTATCGAGGTACAGATGAAACTAGCCAACAATCAACAGCAAACTCAAATAGTCTTGATGCTGATAGTATATTTGAAATAAATTCAAAATGTCTTCGACTTGCTGAACAAAAATATAAATCAAAAGAATTATCATCTGAAGAGTATCAAGCAACATTGAAATTATTACAAAATATACTTGAAAGTGAAGTTAAACGGCTTACTGTGCAACAAACGTTAGTATTATATATCTATATGATTATTAATTCTGATAAATTGATATAAAAATAATCATGAGTGGAGAGTTTTTTGTTGACATATTATTGAAATCTATGAAATAATATAAAGAAATTTCTAATAAACTTCACCTTAGATGAAATGGTTCATGCTATGTAGCTCTAATATTCATGCCAAAATATAATATGCTCTACTGTAATCATTTTGAAGCTAAAAATAACTATCTCATGTTCGATTCACTATGATGAATTGTTCTTGCCTAGCTGCTTTTACGGTCGATAAGATCAATAAGCTGAAATCGATGATCTCAAGAGAAGTCCTATAACTTGTGAATGCACCTAGCTAGAAATCTCGAACTTACTAGATCGAAAGAACAGCATTTTTCTATCAAAAATCTAAATCGAAAGAAAAGTAGTTCTAGAATAGTGTACTCGAAAACTCTCTGCCAAGTACTCTTCTGATTAGTCAATTGCTATTCAATCAAATTTCGATATATAATTCGATGGTCTCTGGTGTTTTCTCTACAATGGTGAAGACTGCAAGTCTCTATGATTTTCCTATCAAAAGATATTCAAAAAACAGTAGAGCATATTACATTTTACTTCATTTGTCCTCTGATCCAATGTTATAGAAGACTTGTCTATCAAAATTTAAAGAGATGAGGATGCACGAAACAGTAATTGGAAAATGCTCGAAAAACTAGAACAAGTTGTCATAGAGAACATTTCATTTCATCATTCATTGATCTTGACTTGTATTGATCCGCTCATTTGAAATGTTCAAGAACCACTAAGAATCTTTACAAGGAATAAAACAAATCAATAAGTGCTTATTTCTTATCGTATTTAATTATTCCGAATAATATTCTATCTGTTTGAAATTAAATAATGGTCGAATTCTACTTTCTAGTAACAATGCAACTCTATTAAATGATACCAATCACCATTCACTAGCAACTCAGGCAAACTTTCTACCAGCAACTACAAGTACAACTCCAACTCATCCATTTCAACAACAACTTCTTCAATTTGCTCAACAACATGCACCACAAATGCCAACAACAACATCACAACAACAATCTTCCTTATCAACATTTTCAAATTCATCATTTCCATTTCCAGGTTTTGGTAATGATGCATATCGTCATGTAATGCAAATTTTAGCAACAGTTGGTGCACCATCATCTTATACATCGAATTATAATTTTCTACCATATCTTCCACCATTACCACCTGCTCCACCATCATTTACACTTGTTCAAAATACATTTAAATCTCAAACACAACAACAATCATCAACATCATCAGATCAACAAAATTTTTCAGCACGTCAAAGTCCACCATTGAAACGATCACATGATGAAAATAATAATAATAATAATCTTTATTCCGATGAAGATAATAAACGACCACGTTATGATCCCGTTACGGGTCGTGCAACACGTCCACGTAATTTTGATGAAGAAAATGTAGCTCCTGTGCCATCACTTATTGATGCTAACGTTAATATGTTAAAAAAGTAAATGAAAATGTTTTAGTCTTTTTAAATTTCAATCGGAAATTAATTATTTGTTTTTTTTTTTGCTACATAGAAAATATGTTGGTATTGTTCAACAATTATATGTTGGAAAATTTCAATGTCGTTTATGTGGTCTTCGTTTTACTGCTAAACAAAAACATCATTATACACATCATCTTGATTGGCATTATTTAGAAAATAAACAAGAAAAAGATTTAGGTACAACAGCATCATCATTATTATTACAACGAAGTCGAAATTGGTATTCATCTGTACAAGAATGGACAATTTATGAAGAAAATATTGAAGAACAAATACGAACTGGAAAAATCATATCAACACAATTAAGACCAATTAAAGATAATCATCAATTAATACAAGGAGAAAATATTTTATCATCATCAGGTGTTATTTCTTGTCCAGCTATTGGCAATGGTGATAATGATGATGATGTAAATTTTTAAATAAGAATTTTCATTATATAGAAAAAACAAAAAAAAATTCTTTTTTATTTTTATTTTATAGCGTTGTTATGTTTGTCATGATCCATTTGAAAACTTTTTTGATGATAATCGAGAAGAATGGCATTTGAAAGATGCTATTCGAATTGACGGAAAAACTTATCATCCAATTTGTTATCAAGATGTTAGATATGAGGTAAAATATTTAATTGTAAAAAATTCTTGGAAAATATAATAAAATTCATCTTATTGATTCATACGTGAAACACTAATGACTGTGTTTTAAGCCACCACCACCCCCGAGAATTGATATACACAGCTAAGTATATTCTAATATCGCATGAAATTTTCAGCTCTATACTATGATCTTTTCGAGAGCGATATTCAACAAACAAGAGTAGAATATTGACCATTTCTCACCTCAAAATTTTCTGTGCGACTTCATTCTATATATTTTGCTTTTTTTTGTCTAAAAGAGTATCTCAGAATTAGAGACACGTGGGACCACATTTGTTTATCTCGGCCCCGATAATTTTAGTCTTTCGGACTTCGGTCTAGGCAAAACTATTCCAGAATTTATTTAGTCGACGGCTAGTACTTTTTCTGGCTATATCCCTTCAATTATGTTATGCTTGCAAACCGTATTTTTGACGGATACGTCGATAGTTAGTCAACCGCAAAAAAAAAGATTCTCAGAATATTTTTTTTGCGAAATGACTAATACAACGAGCTCTACATGCAAAAAATTTTCTAAAAACCTTGTTTTTTTTGCAGTTGGCTACCCATTAAAGTATCTATCGAAAATACGATTCGTAAGCATTTTATCGTTGGTGGTTTACTTCCATTTGCGGCACCTTTCTTGGGATAGACACGTTTTTAGTTACAGCAATTTCACTTTGCCGCAGTTCCTGTTCCGGTAATTTTTGTTGTAACGGTTCTGCACATCTCTAGTTAGGATGCGGGATATGGCAGTATTTCTTTTTTAAATTCTTAATTTTTAAGCGGAGAAAAGGAATGAAAAGTTCAATGTCTCGGAAAGGTCTTAAAAAATAGAGCTCCAATTATAAAAATATTCTTTTATGTAATAGTAACAAAGCTTAATTCAAAAAATAAAAAATAATATTATTATCTATGAAAGATCAGACTTCGAGCTATCCTCCCATGTATTTATCTCAATTTCCATTTTTCTGACGAAAATTGATTTTTCTACTACCTAAAAGCTGTCTAAAGAAAGACTTCATTATTGAGATATTGTTGTAATAGGTCTAAAATTCATACCGATATCAGTGATAACAAATTAATTGTATTGTTTTTTTCAAACGGAATGTTCTTTTCTTGTATTTTATTAAATATGAGATTTATGTTTTTATTTTTCGAATAGACAACGAATGAACAAGTACCAGTGACTGATTTGTCTTCTGGCGATACTATATCAGCATCGTCAAAACTCACCATGGATGGAACCAGTAATATTTCATCCGATATACCAACTATTGATCCTACAACGACTATAAAAACCGATAATAATGATACTATAGTTGAAGGTACATCGTCATTAGATGATTCAACACAACCAAATTATGTTGCGCCTATATCATTTTTTGATCTTGTTGGAACAATATTTGTAAAAAAAGAAGATATTAAACCAGTTGAAAATGTTGAACAACTACCGACCAATACAAATGAAGAGTCAATGAATACAGAGGATGTTTCTGAAGATATTCCATTCTTATCTGTTAAACATGAACCTGAATCTGAAACTCTAATTAACAATACTTCAGAAGAAATAGGAACGACATTGGATTAATATATATTTTTTTTTTTGTTCTTTTTCTTTTGTCTCTCATTTGATTTCAATGAGTTTACTTGCGTATCAGTGTGTCTGTTTGTTTATTCATGTGCTCTTTTCTTTTTGTTCTTTTAATTGTGCGTATGTATACACACGTACAAAGGATTTAGAAAGAAAAAATATATGTATACAAAATAATATCTTATTAAATTCTATTCATTCATGATAAACCATCAAAAAAAAAAATTGAAAGAATTAATGTTATCTATGGACTAGAGATGTACACTTTTAGTTGACTGATCGCCAGCGTTAGTGTTCGCTGGAACACATCGCTACCAAAATGGCATACTTTCATAGAATTGATATCTCAATGTTGCAGCAAACCCGACTGAATTTGAATAGAAAACATTCCTTGTAATCGTTTATAGTTGGAACAAGAAGTCGTAAGTGATACCGGGGATAGTGTCAGCAAACGTGCGATATGAGAAGATTGTCATAAACCAATAAAACATATCAGATTCACAACCTATCAATGGACATAACATTTGCACGAATCGAAATTTTCAAATTTGCTATTGTTATTAAAAGATACAATTAAATATTTTTCTTTCGTAATATTTGATATAAATTAAAAGTATGTAGGATATAGATTTGAGTGTCGTTAGGAGTCTTCTTGCATCTTTCATACAGCGACACCACATCCATAGCCCCTTCCCTCTCACAGATCTACACCACATCCTCAAAATGCTTTTTTCTTAGTTTTACTTTTCTCTTCAAATTAATTTCTATATAATTTCATGAAAATCTGTGAATCTAAAAATTTCAGTTTTGAAAAAAAAATTATAGTTCATATACTTATGCATCAGAGAAACATATGCTCCTTTGCAGTGATTTGTAATTTTCTAATAGCGTCTACCATCTTTTGTTCTTTGTATTGGTCTCGCTTATTCATCTGAGTCGAAGCTTTTATTGAAAAAAAAAAGCAAACTTTTGTTCTTTTATTATACATATCTAGACTATTATTTGTTTTCCTATTTACTTTTTATATTCAACCATTCTTTATTCACCTTCGACGATAATCATTTCTATTATTTTATGATACGAGCAGGTGATGTCTGTATATGATTAAAACAAAGCATCTCACCATACGGACGTATGACTAACTTCTACTAACAAACGTATATACAAAGAGGGCCTGCCAGAGTTTATTTAAACTTGAGAATCTATCTATTGATACCATTTAATATATTTTAAGTGCTCCAAAAGAGAGTTATTGTTTACTAGATTTTGTCCTTGGCTTAATCTTTTCTGTCTGACGGTGAAATATATAGCAGAATTTTATAGAAAAATCTCGAAAAAATAAATTTGTGGGAACTACTGATTAGTGATAGAAAATTTAAGATTCTAGGAAGATTTTTTTTTGGTCTATTGGCATTTGTAGAGCCTGTTTTGCTGATCATGTCGATAAAAAAGAATTGAAATTTGATCAATAAAAAAACAACACTAAGGTCAATATATTAATAAACATCTTCAGCTCTATGAGACAGAACAGTTTGAAATTTTCAGTATTTTGATCCCAGCATTGTTATTTATTGACCAAATTTAGTGCTTTTTTTTATCGAAATGATCAACAAACAGAGGTCTACAAAGTCCAATAAATCAAAAATCTTCCAAGAACCTTAATTTTTTTAGTTAATTATCTGTGGTAGTATCCAATTATATCCCACAAAACTTCAAAACGTTCTGTTATTATATACCTCTTTTTTATTCTATGAATGAATACTTAAGCTCATCAATTCTGTTTTTAATAGTCTTTCATTTGGTATAAAATTTACTTTTATATCTATTAAAGTTTGAATTATACCTCTATAGAGAAACCTTTTTTTACTTTTTACCCGTCCTACACAAGACTAGACGGTTATCATACAAGTGAAATCGTACAAAGTGTCGATAACACTGTCTGAGTGTTTTTAATGCACTCTTAAATATCATTTGTTCATAGATCAGTCTATGCTGCATCGGTCATATTTCGTAGTCTTTTTTTCTAATTTTATGTTTGATAAGAATTCATACTAGCTTAGTAGTATTAAAATAAGAACCATAACCTGATCTATATTATCTAATTCAATATTGTATGTTTCACTGAAGAATGCAGTTGATGAAGCGTAAAAAATGACCTTGTCACAAATTTTAGTCAAGGATATATAAAATCAAGTCAAAACAGTGTATATTTGTATTCAATTTTTGTTTATATTATAAAACTTCTACTCGTGTACTATTCTTGTGTATATATATCTGCATAAATTTGTTCTAATCACAAAGTGTCTATACTTTATATAAAAACACAATTCGCAGGCATTCTTTCATTTACAGCATCTTCCAATTGAATGATTTTTACAAATCGATTTTTAGTTTCTGTCATCACCTATCGTCATTTCCTATGATTGGTAGAAATTATTTATTTTGAGTAGTCCAGGTGAATCTGAACATGCAATAATATGTTGTAGCTTAATTAGACTATATATAATCACATATGCATGAGTCATCACATCAATGTCAAACTGTCAATCCAATAATGTATTTAGGGTGAAACACATTTTGAAAAACACCTATTAACCACATATAAAATAAATAATTGATATAGATTATTTATAATATTAAATTCTTATTATAAACTAAAATTAGGCGATTGGTTTTAGTGACACCTCACATTTACATTGTTCTCTAATAAAATTTGTTGTACTCTTACTAGAATGGAACTGTAGTGTAGCGTCATCCTTTACGTGAAACTGATCTTTTCTAAAAACAAAATATATAGATGAATATACTATTTGATTAAATAGATTTCTATTATAATTTCTTTTTTTGACGTGTTCATTAAATCGAGATGTCGCTTCATTAAGTGCATTCATCATAGATTTACATTTCTCGTCATGTTTTACATCACCAGATCACTACTATATAGGATCAATTAAATTCAAAGATAAATTGAAATTTCTTTTTTTTTCAATGTTAAATCATGATTAAAATATGAGTAAGTAAATAGACTTTTATGTTTTCTTTTCGAAAGCTAATGTATGATCAATTTCAGTTGCTGATAATACAGAAGATTTATTTATATGTGGTAAATGTCGTACGAATTTTACCGATTTAAATGCTTTTCTAACTCATCGATCTACTTGTAATATTCAACAATCATCAAATGTATTTCCTTTATCAAATAGTCCATCATCAACATTACTTGAAAGAGAATTAGATGCAATTATTCAAGATGTTTCATTAACTATTTCATCGACACCAAATTTATTTTATGAACCTATTCATACAGAAGTTTCATCAACAAATGAATTTGACTTATTATTCTCTCAACCTGTTGAACAAGATACTATTGATAATGAAATAATCAATACTAATGTTTCTGATCCAACAGAAACTTCATGTATTGAAAATGGTATGTCTCAAATGAGTCTATTAGAATGTCCTGTATGTGATGAACAATTTGATGCACCAATAATATTAGAAAATCATGTTTTTGAGCATTCAACTTGGATTGATGAAAATGAAAATACTAGTTCTAAATTGGGTTTACTTGTTGATGATTCATCATCGAGTTATACAGATGTACTCGACGAACAGTCTAATACGCCATTAGAATGTAAACAATGTACGGTTACATTTGCTTCAAATGCATCGTTGAATGTGCATAAAAAAATGAGTAAGACTACATAGTTTTCTTCTTTATGTTGTACATTGTTAAAATAATTAAAAAAAAATCTGCATACAATTAGACTTATGAAGTCTTCCTTTGGAATTTATAATGTTATTAAAATTTCAACCAATAGGAAAATATTTTATATATATATAATAAATATCAAATTGTGTAGTTTTGAGTTGATCCGAAAAAAGAAAAACAATTCACATTCTTTTCAAAGTCTTTAGTGGTGTAAATTTTTGTTTGAAATATAATCATTGCTTGAACATTTAATGCTTTGCGAAAGAATATTACATGACAGTTTTGCAATTTGTTGTTTGTCGAAACATTATATCTTAAGTGTTTGGTCAAATAAACCGTAAAAAAAAAGCAAAAGTTTCAAGCATACAAATAGTCTTTTATTTACGAAAGCATCATTTTTTGTTTTCATGCTTAGTTAAGCAAGTAAGGAACTACTTCAGGGCAGTAAATACAACCGACGGAATCGGTGCTACAAGCTGCCGTGTCGCACAGTTTACAAACGTAAATAATTGTAGATTGACGTTTGGTAAGCACAGTATTACGACCGTATTTTATCGTCTCGTACATAGTTGATAATCATCGTTTACAATACAGTGAAAAACGATTGTAATACTGCGCTTATCAAAGGGCGAGAAACCCATCTAATACGGCTGTTAACGACTGTGCTTATTTTATCAGGCCCAAGTCGGATAATCACATCCGCACCCGCATTTGTTTACTGCCTTTATATACGGAAACCGTATGCGGTCATGAAGATATACAGTTGTAATAAGAGAGCATGTAAATAGGGATGTGCAGTTTCGGTGAAAACAGTGAATTACTGACAGTGTGGCACACCGACACTGAGCGCACTGTCTGCAATGATACACTGACACTGACTGCACTGGTTCCACTATCTGCACTGATATGGGTGTTCACTGAACCAATGCATACACTGACACTGACTACTGCACCGGTGTCAGGGTTCACCGAAACAGCGATGCTCACTGAAGTATCAAGTCGCCTACTCTATAAAAGTATGCACTACTCATGACTTTATTTATGACTATCAATGAAATTAGCGAAATGGCTATACCTATTCCTCCAGAAAGTAGGATTCATTTAAGTAATCTATAATTTTGAATAATAAAGANATCCATGTATATAAAAATATCCGTAAAAAACTGTGTTTATGCTAACAGACTCATATCTCGAGAATGCTTAGTCCAAAAATTCTGAAACTTTGTAGATGAGCTACTCTAGTTGAGGTCTTGATATAGGCAAAGTTTCACGTCAAAATTCGAAACTTTGACTTAATGGAAAAAATGGGGTCCCATAGAAAAACTTTTGTAAAAAGCCGATATCTCAGCCAAATCTCAACTTGGGCACATATCCTCTTAGGCGTTTTCTAGTCTATGCATTCCCTACTTGTGGACAAAATTTCAGCTCAAAAGCTGGTTAGCACCTCGGGTAGTTCCCTCGTAAGAAAAATTTTCTAGACCTTAATCTAAACTACTATCTTACAGAGTATTGTAAGGTAATAAGTACAACTCTAATGTGATCGTCACAAATCATAACAAACAGTTCTTATCGAAATGTTATTATTATTATTATTATATTAATTGAAGAGCGATGAAATATCACAAAAATGCAGAGCATTATTTTTACTATCAGATCATATAGAAAAAAAAAGAAGCTTTTTATAAGAAATTAAAATATCTTCCATCATTACTTTTGGTATGTCCTAAGTATGTTGAGGACATACTCTTTTAAGAATATCAATTTAATAACCTTTAGTAAATGGAACAGGACGATAACCAATATCATTTTCGAAAGGAACAACCATTCCTAAAGAATTTAATAATGTACAATTAACTTTTTTCTTTCGAACATTTATTTTTGGTGTTATTTCATCGAGAGAATATTTGTGTTTTTTTGCATAAGTTTCGAGGTCAGTTAGAAAATTTTGTAAATCAGTTTTAGAATTTGATTTGAGAATAGAACGAGCATATGAACTATATAACAACAAAAAGAAAGAGAAAATTAAATTATTTATATAATTTGTACTTACTAAACTGCAGCAAATATATTATCTCCACAAATTTTAAAACGATTATTCTCATTTGCATTATTAGAAGCAAGAAATGATGGTAGTTCATCAGGTGAATCTCTAAATAAAAATAATATTAAATATTTATGATTAACGATTTGTAAAATGCATAAAAAATTCATAATTAATGATTCAAAAATAAATTTATATATCCTTTGTTGTATATATAAATATTAACTTACCTATAATAACCGATATGAAATTGACTTGATTTATCGAGAATTCGAATAACAGTCATAAATTCAGGTGTATCATAATAATAGCGATAATGTAAATGAATATTAGGTACTGTTTTGCATTGTTTTAAAGCATCATCAAGAATTTCAAATGGACCCACTAATTCCAAATTGAGTAAATTTTTCAATACATCTAAACGATTCACACAATGTTACTATTCTAAGAAATTGTGTGATTATAAAAAAGAAAGTTTTTGTTTTTGATTCAATTAAATAACCGAAGAGAGAAGAAACTATATCCTTCCGACATTTGAGACAGTTCATAAATTAGAATTTTTTTGCTTTAATGAACATTTTTTCTGATCGCTGAATATAAAATTTGAACCCAATGAAAGAATCACCGAGCATTTATTCTCACTGTATTAAATATATGAAAAAAAAGAAAACGTTCTTTATCTTGTTTTTTTCAACTAATCTTTTGATACATTATTCCAAGCGTTTTCAACGGTTTTTAAAATCTTGACTTATCATGCATTTGGTACAAAATCTCATCGGTTTTCGAAACAATTGTCTTACTTTGAAAAATAAATATTCGTCTTGTTCTCACAAATTTCTTGCTTTCTATATGCTAGTTTTTGAAGTGCAATAATCATTAGATATGCGACAGCTCAACGGTTCGGAAGAACTGGATCAAACTACTGATGATTAGCTCTTTTTTAAATGAGCAAGTCACATGATCGGTTCGTTTTATGCGAGCTAGGCTATTGAATACCATATTTATCCTATCCATTTAGTTTAGAAAAGTTCCATCTTAGATCACCGAAGCTGAGCTACACGTGTGAACTGAAATTGAAATGTCACAAATATTTCGAAAATGATAAAATTAAGTTTTTAGATATTCCAGTTCACGATTGCTCATCAGTTAGTCGATATGAAGCTGTCACAAATAGGAAGACATTTAAACCGTTTGATTCGTTTTTGTCTAAATGAATAAATATACCCTTATTTTCTGAACCACGCGATACAAGACTTTACCTTCGGTAGAAAATTTCATTACCGGTATAATGCTAGAGAATGTGAAAAGAATGGTTTCAGTAATACTATTAGACTACGTGCGTGAAGTCAATCAAAAAAAAAACCCAAAGCTGATGCGGTTCGATTACTTTCGAATCTCTTATTAAATTAAACACTTCGTCATCAGTAAGATAAAGTTGAAATATGCCTAGTCACATATCTATTAGTCGTTAAAGTCTTCAATGAGTATTTTTAATAATATTTCATTTGTTTCTCACCTCGTGGATTATTCTTATTTATATTTAAACAAAATTTCCAAAATTCATAAAGATCCGATGGAAATTCCATTTGATAAAGATGTGAAAGTAATTTTTCATCATTTAATTCCATTAATTCCATTAGACTTATTGTAGAATTACTCGATGTAGTTGTTTGTTTTACTGGTGTTGATGAAGATGAATTCGTAGTTGTTGTTGGTGGTGGTGGTGGTGGTGGTGATGATGATACAGGAGAAGAATCAAATGATTTAGATGTTAAATCTTCATCTTCTTCTTTTTGTTCTGTTGATGGATGACGATAATCTCGTAAATGATCAGGATGTTTTCGATAACATTTAGCACCATATTTACACAAAGGACGTGTTGATGTATCATTTGGTAATGTTGTTTGAACAAGTTTTATTCTTTTAGAATTTTTATTTGGAGATTTATCTGTCTCCGATAAACGTTTTCGTTCAGCCATTAATAAAATGAAAACAAAAAGTTTAGTTTTTCTGAAAATTTGTCTTTGATATAAGTTCAATAATAATAGATGACAGTTGTAATCACACAAAAAAGTTTTTCTTTTTTATATTAAATAGAATGTTGCATTTTCATTGGTATGTTAAAATTTCAATTTTTCAGCGACATCTAAATTATTGCATTACTATTTTATTCAATGAATGAATCTTACACCTTCATTTTGCAATATCATATTCAATTGAATAAAAGATTCTAGGAGATTGCAATTTATTTCTTAGATAATAAAATAAAAATATGTCTGTGATAGAATTAATACCATTAGATAAAGGTAGTCGATTTATTCTTGATAATACAATTGTAACAACAATTGGTCGTACAGCAAATATTGGTTGTTTGGATAAAAAAATTTCTCGTAATCATGCTGAATTATATGTTAAGCCAGATGAAACTTTATGGATAAAACCTATTCATCATAATCCAACATTTTATAAAACAAAAACAAATCAATTAATTACATTAACAAAAGATGAAGAATTTCAATTAAATGATAATGATGAAATTGGTTTATTACCAAATGAATATTTTTATCGTATTTCAATTAAATCAAAAGATAAACAAGACGAACAAATTGATTCATCAACAATATCGAAATCACCAATTCAACAACAAGAAGAAGAAGAATCTTCATCAATTCAAGAAAAAGAATTTTCACCTGTTAGAAATTATGATAAAGAAAGATCTTCGAACAATAATAATTCAAATTTAGAACCAGAAGGTGGTATTATATTACATACAAATCGTGCATTACCAGTATGGATGTCTAAGAGTTCGATACCCGAAGAAAAAACTCCTAAAGGACGAGGTAAAGGAAAATCAACTGTTACGCCTACCAAACCTAGTCCATCACCATCCAAATATCGAACATGTAAGTACTTCAGTATTTTTGCATTCAAGAGATCGGAAATGTTAGCTACCAACAATTCAAAATTTGAGAAACCTTGTTGTTTTTTTTTTGACATGTTTTTGTAGTGAAACTTAAGTTTAGAAAGATCTATAAAAATTGAAATAAACCATAAGCATCAAGTTTCAATAATTATCCAACTTTGATTTTACTCGTTATATGGTTAGAAAAAAAATATTGTTTAGAAAATCAATTTTTTCAATATGATTGAAAAAAACCCAAGGATATGAATTCCTTATCCAAGATTTTCACTATTAAAATTTCAATTCCAAAAGAACCGAATATCATATGTAGAATCAACGCAAAAATCTGCATCGAATAATTTACACACTCTGTTACAATTTTTCTCGTGATATCCTACAATAGACTGAAAGTTCTGTAAAACAACCATAACTCGAGAAGATAGACCTAATAGCACGAAGCTTGTCAGAGTTTTTATACACACGATGAGTCCTACCTATGAGTACAATATAAGCTTAAATGAAGATTATTAGTTGGACAGATTTCCTCGTTAGAAATGTAGTATCTATTTTTTATGCAAAAGTAATCAGCGACTTTTTGAAAGACCTGAGAAGTTAGTTTTAATGGTGAACTAACAGGCTTCTGTTTATCTTATAAGTCCTTTTTCGAGCATGTTAAAAATTTTTGAATTTCGTCGTTTTGTTGAGTGGACACTTCTCTATAAAATGTGGTATTGAATTCAGCTGTAGCTTTTACCGAAGTTTTTTTTTTTTCAAAAATTAGTACTTAGGAAATACAAAAACTTATGCGTCTTGTCGAAAGACAAAAATAACTTCAAATAGTGCATTACGTAGGATAGCTTCTGATCTACAAATAAATTAATTTCGAAACGCAATAGCAAAAATACAAAAAATTTCTGTCTGAACAAATTTTTTAGGTTTTTCAAAGATTATCTCATTACTTCGGGAAAAAAAAACAAAATTTACAAGCTCGTATTCAAAAAGAGCATCCTAACTTATAGCTTTTGACACATCGAAAACATTTTCTAATGGATCAACAGTGAACAAACATCTTGTTTTAAAACTTTCTCATCACCAGTGATAGATAACTTGATGAATTCTATGCAAACATGATAAAAAAAAAAAAACAATTTTTTTTCGAATTTCGAATTGCTGGCATCTTATCAATAACAAAAATGTTTGTTTGATTTGTCTCTGTTAGATATTGGACGAAAAAAAGCTGAAGGAATTGTATATGACGATGATGAAGAATCAAACGAAGAACCTGCTACTACAACAACGATTCCTTCAAAAGGTTGATTACATTTCTATCTAACAATTTGATTATCTCTATTATCTGTACATTATAGATCAAAACAATCAAATGTCATCAACAGTCAATGGTTCAAATAAACGAGAACGATGTCCATTTGGAAAATTTTGTTACAGAAAGAATCCAGCTCATCGTCAAGAAGCTATTCATCCTGGTGATCCAGATTGGGATAATAAAGAAAATGATACCGATGATAAAAAACCTGAATGTCCATATGGAAGTGATTGTTATAGAAAAAATCCTGATCATTTTAATGAATATAATCATACTCAACAACGATTATCAATCAATAAAACTAAACGACGAATATCAAAACGTAAAGGTAAAATCAAAGAATTTAAATTGATATGTTCGAAATGAATACTTTTTTCCTAGGAAGTGATAATGAAGAAAATGATGATGATGGATTACCAAATGAATATGATTATAATGATAGTTTTATTGATGATGAAGACCTTAATGATAGTGCACGTATTGATCGAACAGGTATTTGATATTTGTCTTGTTATTTTTTTTTTTATTCAAGTTCAATGTATCCTCAGGAGGTTCTCAAATGAATCCTGATAATGATTGGAAACCAAGTAAAAAAACTCGACATTCCGATAATGATGAAAATAATTCAACAGATGAAGACGAAATAAATTTATTACAACAAGAAGCAGCAGAATTTGTTGAAGGTTCATCAATTAATCATCAACGTCCAGCTAAAAAGAAAGCACGTATATCTCTACCAGATGAAAATGATTAATTCTGTGATGATTTTTTTGTTTACATTAGTTACTTTCATTTATTGTATAAAACATTAATTGTATGTCTTCTGACAAAATCTCATCATCATACTTTTGTATGAATCAGATATTGCGATTATTTCTTGTAATTTCTTTTTCTTTGTATCGGTGGAAACATACGTAGTAAAATAATTGAAATAAATATATAGTATTATCATAATGATAATGAATAGTTTTAAACTAATGTCGGAGTTTCAAGATCGAGATAATATCGTATATACTTCCAAAATGATGATTACAATTGCCGAGACAGTCAAAAACGATACTTTACACGGTTAATATTTTCATTTTTATTATAGTAGCATGAGTTAAATATTCCTTGATTTTGTTGACATCATAAGATAAAACGATTCTTGCTATTTAGTTGTTTATTTGCACGAACTAATACACGATTGTTGAAAGTATGCTAGCCTTAGTTAATCATGGTAAATCTTGTAAAAGTTGCTCGTAGACATTCTACAACTGCAAGCTCAATTTTGATTTACTTATCAGGTTAATGATTCCAGAGTCCATTTTCAGTTGAAAACAGCTCTTTTTTTTTTATCTGAAGTTACGTCTACATTTTCAATCTTCAAAACGAAATATATGTCGTCCTTCTGTTATTTAATATTGACTGCAAAATTATCTCGAAAAATTTATATTGGAATTTTCTCCAACACTCTTTAGATTACTGTGTGAAATTGTTCTAGATAATAATAACTTTCAAAGCACTTGATCATGTGAAAAAAAAAATCAATGAAGAGAATGACATCCATTCATTCTCATTTTCTTATTATCGTCGAACTAATTAACTAGACACAATATCTAGCTTTGAATAACTATACAGATTAATCTTTGTAAAGCTATGAGATGAAATGTAATTGGAAAAAAACCGTAAGAGTTATCTGTACATATCCAGTGAATAACGGCTTGTAAATCAGGTATCCGATCATTTACAATACAGTTCTGATATTGTGTCTATCAAACAGTGAACAAACTATCTAAAACGGATAAGCTTATTTGACGTGAGTTTGCAATTGACATATCTCAGAAAGTGTTAAAAGACACTCTTAATTAATAAATTGTCATATAGTTATTGACTATTTAGATAATATGTAAATTTAATATAACTCATCATTTCCTGTAAAACCAATTGCAATATCAAGGCAAAAATGTTTTTGTAAAAATACATTTGATCTTATTCGAATTTAAAACACACAGACAAACAACATGAGTCATATTGTTGTGAAATTGTCAATGAATTTATGAACGTATTTTTTTCCAATGTGATACAATATGTAAAAGTGAGGATAAAAATCTGAATCATTGCACACTGAAACAAAAAAAAATTTGTTTTAATCAAAAAATAGAATTTTGTTTTTCTTCTTGCGAATTGCGTATGTTATTTTCGTCAATCAGGTGCGAGATGAAAGCGAAACAATAGCAAAATGTGTGCGTGTATAATAATAAATTTTCATAGAAGACAGCTATTAGAATTCTTTTCTAGTTTTGTATTCAAAATTTTGAACTTGTACACGTGTAAAATGTATACTTTTAAGTTTCTTGATCCTCATCTGATTGAATCATGTCATACTGCTCGTTCACTTCTTCGAAATTCTTATAATTTTTTTTTGTCGAAAATTTTTCAAAACAACTGTAAATAAAATATTAATTATGTTTCAAACATCAGACTTGAGATTAAAAAACAATGTTTTTGCTTAGATATTTGTCTATAGACATGACATGATGACCTAAACTTGTATTATCATTAAGAGAGCAGAAGGTTTAAATCGACTTGTGTTTTTAATCAGTAGATTGAGATATTTTTTTTTTTTATGTTCTTACTATTGAATGTAGACAACAATAGAATCTCATAAGAGGCAGTAGAACACTTGTTGTTCCTACACACACTTTGTTATTTTTTTCTTCATGATCTCAAGCTGAATTTTCATATTTTTTTGAATTTGTTTTTCTATGATTTCTTATTTAGTGTGTGTGTGTACATACTTTTTTCTCATAGAACAAAGAAGTAAAAGTTTTAGTCTTAATAAACAACTGTAGACTTTATGAATATAAAATGGCAAGTCGTATAGTAACATTTGTTTCATGTACATTATATCTGTTTTTCCTTGTTATTATTACTATTATTGGTTTAGCTTCATTCATTATCGGAATTATTGGTGTTAGTCGATTTATATCAACACATGTTGCTTGGACAGCACATAAACATGTTACATGTCTTATTGTTGATGTTGACTATGATTCATGTCAAGATTCATGTTATTATGTTATGTGGTCAGTTGTGTATCATGTTTCAAAATTTAATAAATATACATTTTCAACAATAACACAAACATATGACACATTAGATGTAGCATTAAAGAAAATAGCTATTTATAATGTACGAACTAATCATACATGTTATTATCATAAAAAACAAATTGTTAATGTAAAATGGGAAAAACCGTCGTCACCAAAACCTTATTTGATTATGATGATTGTTGGATTTAGTTTAACGGGAATATATATTATTATTATTGCAATTGTTTTTATTTATCGATATCGAAGAACAGCAACATAACTTCTTCATAATAATTAGTGAAGCAAAACGTCAATGTTGATATATATGTATATTTACATTTAATTAATAGATTTAAAGCAATGATTATAAGTTGAAGTATACAAAAGAATGACAAAATAAAAATATGAAATTTTCTGAGAAAAATATAGAAATTAACAGGACGATTATTACTATTTTGAAATAAATAGAATCTATTGAAGATATTTAAAGTGAATATCATTTTTCACAAATTTTTTTAGTCCATTGATATCTGTTTCTTCAAAATAAGTTGAACTCGGAGTTCGCACCATAAAGAAAAAGTCAAGACAAAAAAAAAATGGGATGATATCGATGTTGAAAATTCTGTAGTATTGCAACTATTTGAAATACATATTTTGTTACACAACAAGTCATTTGATGACATCACATTTGAATAGCTGTAATATTTTTATAGTAGTTTTCTTCACAGACAAAGAGAAAATTGTTCTAATAATTTAGATGACAATGATCAAAGTTTTACAATTCATTAGGAGTTATAGTTTATTCTAAGAAGAGATTTTAGAGAAGGTTGCTAAATAATTCATATCTACACTAAGTCGCAAGAGCCACTAGAACAAAGGATGTGTGTGACAGTGAGTATACCCCCCCCCCCCCCGAAGTTGAAATTTTTTCCCATTGGC